ATTTAGTATAATTACACAGGTGATTATTGAAAATTCTCCACGCTGATTGGTTGCCGTTGAGGTGATTATTACGCGATAATCACCTAAGCGATTTTCAAAATGGCGGCCGAAGCCTTTTTGTCAATTAAATGACGAAGAAATGTGTATTTTCTTATTTTTTTCTCCAAATAATCACCTATGAAATTATACTAAAACAATTATTCACCTCAGGCTCGGTAATTATCGTGAATAAAAACCTCGACTTCGTCTCGGTTTTTATTCACCGATAATCACCTCGCCTTCAGCGAATAATTGTTAAATAACACTCGTATTTAGTCGAGCTGACTTAATACGTCTGCTTCATATAGTCTGAGGAAAAGGACTTCAGGTCCTAACAAACATTTCCCGTACCAACAACACTGGAGAACATTTAATTGCTTTCCGTGCTTTGTACCGGTATAATGATAATCAATTTAAATCTTTCAAAATACTGTTTTAAATAATATGAAACTGTTTTATCTATTGCTGCTAGACATAAGGCTATCACTGGAAATTTTTTTCAAAATCCTTGCTATGGAAATAGTGTGGATCTTCGCAATTTTCATACTATATATAGATATAGTATGGAAATAGTATGGAAATACTAATTTGGATTTAGTGATGCAATTGCGAATTCCATGGTATGGATTTCATTATTTTTTCCAGTGATTTAGTCTTATTAGTGCCACATCTTGTGGTACGAATCTAAATAGTACTGAATAAAGATGCCTAGTGGAAAGTGTTGTGTTGTTGTACATAATTATACATGGTAGATGGATTATTCGAACGCAACTTGATTATATACATTTTAGACCTACCAGGAGTAGTTGCGAAAAATGCAGCTTTAGGCCCTCTGGCGAACCTGCGACTCCGGTGCAGCGCTCTAACCAAGGGGCTTCGGTGGGCATACTTCGAAACCCGGACCGGACTCGAAGAAAATCCGGACTCGAGAAAAACCCGGACCCAGAAAAAATCCGGACTCGTCTTTAAGAAAAGCCGGGCTTGGCTTTTGGGGGCCTGGTCTCGAGGTGGAGAAAGGCGGGTTCGGGACAGGGACTCTGCATGTGTGCGAGAATGGAACTTTTTTTCAAAGTTTTAATAATAGTTAACATGATTTTTGCCCTCGCGCGGGTGCTCCTCTACCTCCCCGCTTTCTAGTTAGATAGATAGAATACTTTATTTCAACAGGGTGGGCCAATCAGCACAATGGCTGGAACCTGGTTGATATGATGATTGCACGCATACTTGTATGCTAGTAGCAAAGTCTACCCCACACCTAAATTAATAACTAAAATCCGTCTCAGTAGTCATGCAGGAATGTCTTGTCTGGATAGCATCTCGTTACATAATTGCTGCAACCATAGCAGACAACGTGATGGCGGCAAGGGGAAACAGATACCCCCAACACACTCGACCTCACATAGACAGCAATTATCCATTACGATTGCACGAGCCATAAGGTCTGATGCGCTACTACAGTGGACAGCACACTTTCCGAATCGTATTTCTTAAAAGTTATAACCCGCCTTTTTATTTTTTCTGTTGTACTCTCTGCAGTCCGTTCTGTTGCCAATGCTAGCGATCCCTTTTCAAAGTCTCGAATATATATATTGCCGCGACAATTGGGGACCGTTAGTAGGTGGGAATTGGGGACCATTAGCACGTGGGACTTGGGGGACCGTTAGCAGGTGCACTTGGGGGACCGTTAGTAGGTGGGACTTGGGGGACCGTTAGTAGAACGAACAGCTCCTAGACTAACGTCAGAAGCGTCTGTTTGCAATACAAATTCTCGGTCAAAGTCTGGGTAACATAATATTGGTGTGGAGCAAAGTAATTGTTTAAGTTGTTCAAAGGCCGCAGTACATTCATCAGTCCAAACGAAATTAGTGCTGTACTGTTTTAAAGTGAGTTTCGTTAAAGGTTGTGCAACAGTAGCGTAACTTTTCAAAACCTGGACTCGAAATAGAAAAAAAACGGATTCGAGAAAAGGACTTGTGTGTGAGAATGGAAAGGTTTTTTGCAAAATTTTAATAATAGTTAACATGATAAAAGATGATCACTTCATAACAATAATCAGTAAATATCTTTAAATAAATTTCTAGAGTGCTGTGTTAAACTATTTGTTGCATCGGTAATAATTCGCGCATTTTATGCCCTTGCTTTCTAGTTAGATAGATAGAATACTTTGTTTCAACAAGGTGAGCCAATCAGCACAATGGCTGGAATCTGGCTGATATACTGGAACCAAATAATTTAGGCAACAATTCTGGAACCATAGCAGACAAGGTGATGGCGGCAAGGGGAAACTGATACCCCTAACACACTCTACCTCACATAGACAGCAATTATCCATTACGATTGCACGAGTCACAAGGTCTGATAGCGATCCCTTTTTAAAGTCTGATAATATTGATATTTGTCTGTTGATATTGTCTTGATTGATACTCTCTCCTTAGGCAATGCGTTCATCAATTACCCGAAATGGCTTACATACAACCGCGGCTCCAGGGGCGTCGGAAGCGGGGGCCCGGGCCCCCCACTTTTTTAGTTGGGGGGCCTAAATGTATTTGGT